GGAGAGCCATAAATCTGCCCTTTTTCTAAAATACTGTGAGGGATGTAAGTTGCATTTTTGTGACAGTGAAACACCAAGTTCCATGTAATTTCTCACGGTGAAGAGCATCTACCCATCCAACCAATCTACAAGTATTTTCTAAGTTCCTGCTCCAGGTCATTCAATGTTGTAAGTTCTTGAGGGAAGGCCCCCTTCCCTCAAGGGGGGCTTGAACCTGTAGCATCTGGGGACAGGATCACTTATCTTAAATCCAACATTTACTGAATTGCTCACAAATTACGTTTCTGCTAAACTTATTTTCCAAATTGATTGCTTCATTATAGAGCCCATTCTACCCTGATTATGGCCATTGGCTAATAAAAATAGTTTTTAATTCTAAATTCTACACCAGTAGGACTAACACAACCAAGGCAGAAGAACTTAATGATATAAAAATTGGCCTTTTTGATTATGATTAGCATTATAATGAAAAGCATGTAATTAAAAAAGAAGCATGTTATTCAAGAATTTCCTGCCTCCGGTCGAGGACATCGTCACATTTTTATGTGTCAAAATTGTGGGTATACTGTCTCAGTTAAATTTCAAGCTGGTAACAGAAAATGAGGCTTTTAGGTCTCTAATCCTGGTAGTCGGGTTTCTGTCCCTCCCGTCCCCCATTGGGTCACATTGTCTGAGATAGTAGAACAAGACGGAAGAATCTGAAGTTATGCAAGGAAATTTTGATTCTTACACCTCACAGAGGGGAGCAAAAGACCGTGTGCTCAGAGGGCCCAACTAGCAGTAACTGAAGAAATAATGACAAAGGCAATCCAGATTGAATTCATATTCTGCTCATTTTCAAGAAGACCAAAACACACAGCACAGAGATTTCTTCTGACCAGCACAGGATAGGCAGGAAAGGTATGGAAAAAATTATATATATTTTTTAAAGGTCAGGAAATGGAAGCAACGGAGAATTCACTAGGAAAAATATAATTGGTAACGAAGGAAAGAACAAACACATCTCAGATATGAAACTAATTCTTCTGTAGACAGTCATGGCTTATCAGAATGCAGGAAAGAGAACAACATATATTGAAAAAGGAAGGTCCTACCCAGTTCTCCATCTATCCTTCTCTGTAAGGCCTAGAACAAAAAAAAAAAACATTACATCTTATGTGCCAGCTGGATGATTTTGGTCAGGCTGCCTGCAGCTCTGTCTGGAGGGGGTGTCTCAGACTACATCAGAGATATGGAATCTGGTCATTGTGTTGGCTGAGTATTTGGAAATGAGGAGTGGCAGCTCATGTGCCCCCATGTTTGATATCCCTGGTCTAGACCCAACCAAGATCATGTTTGCCCTCTGAAGCTCTCCTTGAAGAGTAGAACCCAAGCTGAGCCTCTGGTCTCCCAACTAGCTGTGCTTGAGGTCTGTGCTGAGCACTTAGCATCAGAATGCATACAATCATTAGCCTCCCTTTGCACCGTGCAGCAATCCTACCAGGAGCAAATGCCAGTGTGTAGGAGCTTTCCTCCCCCACAGATGACTCTTTGTTTTTACTGAACTCAATGGGGTGCTGAACCTTCTGCCAAAGTGAGGACAGGAAAGGGGGTGGTGTTACCAAGCAGCAGCGAATTCATGGATTTTACTCACTGGCAGGCTAATTTGGGGGTGGCAGGGTGGGTGGGCCACCTGGAATAGGCAAACAGTACCAGACTGTCTCCAGTTCAAAGCTATCTCCCTCTCCCCATATTTTTTGATTAAATAACTCCATTATGGATTGCAAATCACCAGGAACGAGCTTAAACTAATAGCTCCCTCAGAAGGTCCTGCCACAGGGGAGAGAGAGGAGGCACCAGCAGCCATGCCACCTAGTCCCACATCAGTTCTTTCTTCTTTCTCTTTTTCTCTTTCTCTTTTTCTCGATCTTCTTTTCTTTCTTTCTCACTTCACACAATGAAGCTCTTCTTCCTTTATTCTGTTTTGTTGGTTGTGTAATTTCCTTCATTACTTGGGAGTACTAACTTGAAAGTGTCTGTCTCTCTGTTCTCTAGTCCAATTTGAGATTAATTTAGAGGAAAGGGATACTGTATGTGAAACTCAGCTTGGGCTTTTCCCTAATTGCAAGATAAGGCCATGTGTAATATTTTCCTAAAACTAGGATATATTAGTGCATGTTTGAGAATTTTAAAACACCATGGTCAACACCAAAAGCTCTATTTTGCATATTTGGATTCAGTCATCAATTAAGAACCTATGTTGTCCTCTGGGCATATTTATCAAAATAATTTTGTTCTAAATAGTATAAAATAGGAAATTTATGATCGATATAATTTATGTATAACCTTCATTATTGTAAATTTAAGGGGAAATGCATCATACAATTATGATTTTTTTTTTGCACCAGTGTAACAATAAAGTTGCTATTCACAACAACAACAAAAAAGCTTCAAAAAGATCTACAGCAGAAGGAAACAGAGGAGGGTGAAACAAGAGTGGAAAGATTCAGATGTCGCTGTCATTATTGCCTGTATCACAAAGATCTTGCTGAGGAAACCAGCATGGAGAATAATGATGCCGTGGAGCCAATGTAAACAGACTTTTATTCTTGAACTATTTCTTTCTGCTAGTGATTTTAGGATCATTTTGCAGGCTTGGAAGGCTGCTCTATGTTAGGGCAAACTAATACTTTGATAATCTGATATTACAAGGGGTTTTTTTTAATATCTTTTTTTTTTTTTTTTTTTTTTTACGGTGATGCCAGTAATTTGTGAGGAATCCTGTAGTTTGCATTTGGATGACTTCAGTATACTTGCACCTTTTGATTTGACCTAAGGAAGCACTAATAGGTTTTGAATGTTGCCTGTGTGTTTGAGAGACCTGAAGTCATTAAGATAAGATCTAATATCAAAAATTGGAAGCCAAGTAACTTGTGCAGAAGGAATACAAGAAAACTGGGTCATTTGGTAAGCAAAATTAGGGTGGGTACATATGCTAGATTTTCTGGTTTTCTGACATTGTAATAAAATTTTTTTGTTGTGCTCTTTCAGTTTCCAGTAGGAAGTGTGTATGTAGAGGATCTTAATAAAATTAAGATCTTTTCCTTCCTTCCTTCCTTCCTTTCTTGTAGGTTCCAGACCACTGTGGGGCCCAGTGTGAGCTCGAACTCATGACCATGAGATCAAGACCTGAGCCAAGATCAAGAGTTGGGCACTTAACCAACTGAGCCACCCAGACCTGTCTTTCACATCCTCTCTATCAGCCCTCTTCTCCTTGACTTTGCTCAAGTCTTCCCTCGCTATTTTTATTTTATTTCTCACTCCCACAAGTCTCTTAACTTAAAGAGAAGCAGAGATGAAAAGGGAGGCCAGGGAGACAGACAACTAACTGCCCATTTTGCAACATAATCTCATGTCCTCTTTACATCAATCCTGACAGGATGGATATTCCTATTCCCATTTTACAGACTTGGGTACTGAGGCTCCATGTTAAGGAACTTGCTCACGAACGTAGATCATAAGATACAGACTCAAAAGCCTGTGCTCTTCCTACTTAACCAATATTCTTCAAGAAAATGTTCTCTTTCTTGGTCCTCTTACCATATCCCCAACTTGCCCCTAAAACAGAGCTTCTCACAGAGGCTCTTGAGTCAGAAGACACAGCAAAGTGTTCACACTGAGAGGGATTTAAAGACAACAGAATCATTAGACTCCTACTTGGGATGGAAAAAACCTACTGTGTTTTTAACTTGGAAGAAAGGAGGCAGATGCTGGAGTTCAAGTCCTGGTCGTCAAACCTTTAGCATCCTCTCAATCTTCCTGAGTTGATTGTTTCTGTAAAATGGGATGACCCCCCCACCTCTCTGCCTGCTTAGTAGTGTGGCTGCTCATTCCATCTTCCTGATCATGACAGCACATATAAAATGTAAACTATAATTATAATGAAATTTTAACATAAAAAAATAACTTTCTTGCTTGATTAGGGGAACTGAAATATGAGTCATAGAAAATGAGATCTCATTTCTTCACAAGTAAAACAAAAGTGCATGAGGTCTTAGTATAAAATGACATTTAATAAAGTAGAAATCACACATGACATGTGACATGACCTGTCAGCCCAGCCTTGCTCTCTTGTCACACAGAATGGCCTAGGAGGTACCACAGAAGGTTAGGTCTATGGATTAGTGGGGGAAGAAAGCCTGGGCGGTGGGCTTCTGAGATGGGATCAAGAGCCCTTGAGGGACCATCAAAGGGATAGCCTTCAAAGGGTTTGTGAGTCCTCAGAAGCTGTGTATAAGATGTTTTAGAGGAGCTAATGAACTTTTTATTTTTTTCCTGGAAAAAGAGCCAATGGCTTTTATCAAAAGTAGGATAATGTAGTGTATAGGAGTTCTGAATTAGAAATCAGAACTTCTGGGTTTAAATTCCAGAACTTCTCTTATTAGTTGTGACATCTAGGGTGAGTTTAATTAATCCTTCCATGCCTTAAATTTCTCACCTGTAAAAGGAGGGTAATAATAGTACCTATCTTATAGGGTTGCTATGAGGATAAATGAGTTAATACGTGTAAAGCATCTAACACAGTTACACTCAGATGTTCACAGCTGCCACCACCAACACTAGCACCATCACCTTCATGAGTTCTCAGAGGGTCCATGAACTTAAAGGATGTTGACGAGTATTCACCATGAATACTCTGTTGTTCTGATTCGTAATAGTTAGCATTTACAAAACATCTCCATTGGGCTTTATATGCATAAAGCTACTTACAAAATACTAAGCACTTTACTGTCTTACTTCCTTAATCCTTACACGGACCCTATGAGGTGAGTAGTAGCAGTATTAACCTCATTTTATGCTTGATTAAGTCTTGACTGAGGCTTAAAGGTTTAAGTAACTTGCCCAGGGTCACGTGAGTAATGAGGGTGGAGCCAGGATGCAAACTTCATTCCGACTTACTCCAGAGCCAAAATTCTCAGTCAGTACAGAACCAAACACTTCTGGTTCAAGACAGCTTCTCCAGGTCAGCCCACAGTGATTCGTGGCTTACCAAAACACAAACGTAAAGGCAGCAAGGGCAGCACAGGAGAAAAGGAAAAGATGCTGGTGCAGCAAGAATGAAACTGTAACATTTGTCTTCTCACGTCCCTGAAAGCTGCGGGAACCACAAGTTTCTAAAGGACCTGGTGAGCGAAAAGCATGGCTGGAGCTGTGTGAGAAAGAGCGCTACTTGTGGGGGCCGGGAGGAATGGAGGTGTCCACATCTGAGACCTGGGGAGTCGTGAGGAAGCCAGGAGGCTCTGCTGTGGAGGCCATAGGGGAAGCTAGTTGCAGAAGACCATAACTTCAATCTGGAAACTGAAGTGAACACAGGAAGGGGTTTGGCCCAACAAGGGGAAGTTCAGCTTTTGTGTGCTGCCAGTGACGTTGCTTAGACGTTGTTTTCTGATTGGTAAGCAGACTCTTAGCTAGAAGGTTGCATAAAGCTTGCCCGTTATTTGTGACTATTAGCCCTCAGTTCCTGACACATGGAAGGTTCTTACCAAATATTTGGTGAACTGATATGAAGGGGAAGTGGGAAACGATGTCAGTTCTCTCTGAAATAATTTAGTGGGGAATGCACAGTACAGGATCCCAGTGTGAATGCTGGCCTTCAACAGTCTTCTCGAGAAGCACCATACCTGCTCAGAGAGTTTAATGGTACTCAAAACAATTTAGGAATGCTTCAGGAATTTCCTCCAAGACAAGTTCACAGGAGTCACACAAGAAACAGTTATTTTATTCACTTGCCCAGTGTTATGCACAGGGCTATTAATGGACTTGGCTCTAAATGATTTTTGGCTATTTGGGTTTCCTGATTTATCACTAACAATGATATTATTTAAACTGTGCCCCAGGCTTTGCAGATCATTCTGAGAACGAGGGAATGATCTCTCAATGTAGTATGTGTAATGATACTTCTTACATTTATTAACTCATTCAACCTTCATAATAGCCTTAAGGAGTTGGTACAGGAATTTTCTTCACTTACAGATGAAGAAACCAAGGCATAGGTTTTATAACTTGCCCAAGGCCATGCATTTAAGAGGTAGAGACCAGCTGTTTGAATCACAGTAACATTACTGAAGTAAGAGTCCATCTCTAGCTCCCTCAGTTGATCTAAAATGGAATTGTATTCAGTTGTATGTTGAGTTCTCATTTTGTTGCTTTTGTAAAGGTGTATTTTCTTAGAGTTCAATCTTCCACCCATTATTTTCCTTAGCCACTTTCAGAGGATAATTTTACTTTTTAGGCACAAAGCCATTTTTGAAAGATATAATGAAGGTGTGCTCCTACCCTGAATGTAGGGAGAGTGGTACAAAGGGAGACAAACAGCAGACCCACTCATCTCCTGTCCCTGTTTCTATCTCCTCCATTAGGAAGAGTGAGCTGTGTGTTGTATTCACAGAAAGGGGTGGACATCCCCCCAAATCATCTTATAAGGTAGGTATATGTTATTCCCATTTTAGACATGAAGAAACTGAGATGCAAATAGGTTTTAGAACCTGCCTCAGCAGTACTATGAGCCAGGGGTTAGTTCAGGTTTTCAGATTCCATTGTCTTTCCCAGGATACACCAGCTCTTTCAGGGCATAAAGGTACAAAGCTTCTATTCATGTTTAATGAAATATCAATCACAAATGTCCAGTATGAAAAAAAAAAACCTGTCTTAAAGTTAATTCCTTTAAAAGGGGGATCAGGTTTGGTTCTGAATTAAAGTCTAAGACACACAAGAAATCCCTGAACCCCTTTACTGAGTTCAAGCCTGAGATGAAGATATTTTATAATCCAAAACATGAAAACATAGAATGTTTTTAGGGCAGAAGACTGAAACTGGGAAGCAAAGCCATGACTCTCAATTAAGGGAGAAAAAGATTTTTAAAAATTCGTATATGTATATATAGACTAGTGTGGTAATTAATTTCATATTTCGACTTGCCTGGCCATGGGGTACCCAGAATAAATATTATTTCTGGGTATGTCTGTAAGGGCTAGATTAGCATTTGAATTGGTGGATTCAGGAAAGTAAGCCCCCTCCCCTATGTGGGTGGGCATTATGCAAATCTATTGAGGGCCTGAATAGAACAAAAGGCAGAGGAAGGAGGAATTCACCCCCCTTTTCTGTCTTACTGTTTGAGCTGTAACATCTCACCTCCTTCTGCTCTGGGATCAGGACTTACACTGTCAGGTCCTCTGTTCTCAGGCCCTTGGACTTTAAGTGAATTACACCATCAGCTTTCCAGGGTCTCCACTTGGCAGAGGACATCTAATGAGACTTCTTAGCCTCCATAATCACGTGAACCAATTTCTCATAACAAATTTCTTTACACATGTGCACACACACGCACGTACACACGTACACCCTATTGGTTCTTTTTCTCTGGAGAACCCCAACACAACTAGTATTGAAGAGCCAAGAATTGCAAAGTACTAGTTGTGCATCAGGTACCATGACTCGGATCTTCTGCATGCTTTGCATTGAGCATTTGGTCATTTATTAAATAACCCATGTTCTGCACTAAGCACGGGGTACAAAAAGCCAAAAAAGATTTGACTTGCTAGAGACCAGCAATAATCTGCACAAACAGTCTGTAAGGACTATTATTAGCCTCACTCTACAGAAGAGGAAATAGAGGCTCATAACAATGATGGGGCTTTTCTAAGGTCACACAGGTAGAACGCTGTAGACTCCACAGCTGCCTCCTATTAACCCAAAATCCTAGAAAAAATTCTGTAGCCCAACAGACACAAAGCACTTGGAAAAGGTGATAACCGTAGGTGCTAGCACAAAGAAATAGTTACGGCAAATTAAACCCATCATTATCTCCGATAGGTTTTCTGGTCTGGCAGATTTAGGTAAAGCTGTAGACATCCCATGTCTCTCAAATTCAGCATCGTGTTTAACGAGTTTCCATCACTGGCTTGAACAAAATGGAAATACATGACCGGGATGAGAGCACAGGCAGGCAAACCATTGTAAGGGGACCAGGGAGAAACAGGGTGTTTTCAATGGATAAACAATCAGAGGCTGGTGACATGCCATAGTGTTCTGTCCTTGGCCTGGCCCAGCTCACACATTTGTTTACTCACTCACACACACAAGCGTTTATTGAATGGCAATGATATATAAAAGGCTCTAGGTCTGGTATAGAAAATTTCGGGTGGACACCAAAGATACCCTAGATACTTCTCTTCAAAAGAGCTTCTTGTCAATCAGCTGCCGGGAGTGCTATGGGCACAACCCTTTAGGCTCTGCCTCAGTGGCAGAGGGCCACCTCACCCAAGGTCATACGCCTTCAGAGCTTGCCCATATCAGAGTACAGACTGATGGGACAGTATAAAGGTTATTCCTCTCGATCAAACTGTGGACAGCGCTGAAGGGTCATTCTAGTTCTGGAGTTCCCTGTCTGGTCAGCTCAGTCTGTTGCTGGACATGCAACACTGCTTAACTTCTCCTTCTTGCCCATCCTACCCCACAGGAGTTGAGCCCAAGGTCACTCCTTAATAAATACCCTGTACAGTAAACTTGAAGGTAGAAAAGGAGTGTTTTTGTCCTTCATTAATCTTCTAAATAGCACAGCTACTATCAAGGACAGAAGTTACACGGAGATAGCATTTGGGTTTAATAATTTCCTTCAACATGTACCCCTGGGGCTAAAAATATATTATATGTTTATAAAAAAATAAAAAAAATAAAAAATAAAAAAAAATAATTTCCTTCAACAGTGAAACAGCCTGCTTCAAAAAGCAGTGTTCTTTGCAAGATACAGGAAGCATTGTCACTATTGGAAGGGTCAGTATCAACCAAACAAGCTGGTATTTTAATGAAATTTGTTTCTGTTCATCTGCTGCTGGCTAGCAGGCAGCACAGCATCACTCATGTTTAGAGTTTAGTGATTAGAAATTTTTAAAAGGAAACATCCTGGGTTCAAAAGGTTCTATGAATAATTTGCAGGTAAATGGGGAAAAAATCCATTTCCTAATGAAATTCCAGAAGTAATCTGAGATTACTTAAGACACAGTGGAGAAACTGTCAATGCCTATCACGATTCATTCACTCCTTTGTTTTTTTATAACAGAACCTGAATTTTAGCTGGTTACATGTCTGTCCAGGCAAAGACTACATTTCCCAGACTCCCTTTCAGCTAACGTGGCCACGTAATTAAATTATGGCTTTGGTCGTGATGTTTGCAAACTCCCAGGTAAACCTTTAAAGGAAACTACTTGCCTTTTATTTTCTCTTTCCTCCATCCCAAAGCTGGACCACGGAGGTGATGGATGGTGGTAAGGCAGGCACAGGCTCAGAAAGGTGGAACATTCATACAGAAAGTTTCTGGGTTCTCTAATAGTGCCTGGAGTAGGACTCTATCATGCATCTGATGTGCCTGTCAGTTTTGACTTTTACAGGGGAGAAAAGTAAACCACTTATTTTGTATAAGCTCTTTCTTTTTTGGTCTCTGTTAAAGCAGCTTTACCAATATTCTAATTTGTATAGATACCAACTCAACAACTCAAATGTGAGTGCTGTTCCTGTTTTGGTCAGTCAGCACAGTATCTTACCAGGATACCATATGATGGAAGGAATAGAAATTAACATCCTTTCCTGTGAGTTAACCCTTGCATTATCCCCTCTTCTTTTTTAGGGCTCTGCCCTGTCCTGCCCCACATTATACTTTATTCCCATATAAAAACCAAAGGTCAAGGCAAGATCTGGATTGAAATTACATTTATTTATCTATACAATGGGATTTCTGCCAACAATTAAAACCTTGATTTTCTATGCTGCTGATGCTTTGTTTTAGGGCAGAGTAATTTTCAGATAGGTTTGTATTATATATACACGTAGCTATATATGATGCATTCATCCACCCATCCATCCATCCATTCTTTTCTGGAGTAATTTGGCCATGTAGTGTGTACAGGGAACTATTCAAATAAAATAAGAACCAATATATGATAAGAGATATCAAATGGGTTACAATTCATTGATTCATATTCACAGATGGATGAACAGAACAAATGAAATACAACTTAATCTTAAAATTCCTTAAAAGAAATAGAAATTAAAAATCCAACATAAACCATTGTTATGAATGACTTACCATTTGGAATTTCCTCTATTTCTATAAATGTAATGATTGATGCTTTTGTAGCATAAAAACCATAGCCCCATGTGAAATATATTGATACATTATTAACTAGCATAGGCTCTGTTTCTCTTTTTGTACCTGAATTCAGTGTAGACATGTAAATGTCTGATTGTCTGGCTGGAAACAACTGAAGTTGCATAAAGGATTTGCCATTTTTATCATGGCACTAACTGGATTTCAGAAGTTTTTTTCTACTTATCTGGTTCTGGAGGTAACATACTGCATATATCATTTGTGAATTATAGGTACATGTGGGTTTTCTAGGAAAGGGTAAGGATTCTAAAACCAAGAACATGTTCTCAGTTACAATCTCTTTTTTTAACTTACATATAATCAGAAACACGTGTAACTTTTCCTAAAGGAACAATAACAGCTCACTCCCCTATGCTAAATACCAAAAATCGCAAACCTTTGGGAATCATAAAGGCAGAGCCAGTTTCTCTCACTAGAAGGAGTAAGCTGGGGGCGGGTGTGGGGTGGGGTGGGGTGCAGGGGTGGTGGTGGGTGGATCCAGGAGTCCCTTGGTTTGTGGCATTGCTGGTATGCAGAAGCAGCCTAACTCTGTAATTACTTTCCCAGGGTGTCCCCAGCTACTCTTCATACTGCTTTCCTGAAAATCTTTTTATCAGAGTCTTAACCACATCATGTCAAGACATTACCTTGAAAATAGGTGTTGAGAAGAGCTCAGACTAAACCTTGCTGCACTGCCAGCAACATATCTGGATGGAGGAATATCTGCCAGATGACTTGGGCACACGTATTCTTTTTGATAGAGGGGACTTCTTTCCTAGACGCAACTAGCTTTCAGCAAATACATACAGACCGTCTTCAACTGTTCTAGTAAGTTTTCTTTCACGTAAATTTGTTCATTTAATCCCATGATCTTATCTTGCTGACACTTACCCCCAGAGAGCATCCAAATGCCCACTAACTGTATTAGACCCTACAGAAAAGTGAATATAAACTGGTTTCAAGTGTTTAGATAAATTTTTATAATTAACTTAAAAAATACAGTAAGTGAAAAATGATTTGAAATACGTCAACTGAAAAGTGAAAGTGTATGCATTTAAAATTCTCCTCTTACTAGAAATCACTGGTATTACAGACCAGCTTATGAGTTTATAATCTGTACTTTCCATTGCAGAACAGAAAGAAAACCAATATATTTCATGCCTCTTTTCTCAGGGAGACACCTTGAAATACCAAGTGAGTAAGTGATTAAAAACTACCCGAAATATAATTTCCGTTGGTTGATTACTAATAGCAATCATTATAATTATCACTAACAGTTGTGATAAAGGCCATTATAAGCCCTAAGTTCTAAAGAAGGGATCATTATAGATTTTATTCATCTGAGCCAGGCAAATATTCATTCTCAAAGGATAGATGATTACTATTTCTCTAGAAAGTTTAGCTGAGATATTTTTAAAAGCATCTCAAAAATGGTTCAGCATTTATTAACTACCTCTTTCAGGGAAGATGCTGTAGGAAGATCACATCTTTCTGAAGAAGGTGCCAAGAACATATTAGCTGCTAGTTTGAGAACCTTCATCTACACTTCACAGCTACTTTTAGAAAAACAGTTGTAGCATTTATCAAACACCACCGAGAAAACAGTATACATGTTGGAACTCAGAATTCAGCAGCTACAGAAATCTAGCAGGTGTGAACTGGGGGAATGGACAACAAATTGTAGAAATATACCAATTTGAATAATATATGTATATGTATAATATAAGTAATGTATATGTATAATATAATATAAGTAATATAAGTAAGGTCTACCTATATTTTAGATGCCTAAAAGATGAGAGTATTTAAAACAATTTGATAATAAAATATAATAAATATTATGCATCTTAATATGTTTTTAGACTGTGATCTATGATATTAGATTAATATTTCTTGGGAGCATATAGCAATGAAAAAGTTGGGTTTTTAGCCTTTTTTTTTTTTTTTTTTAAGAAAAACAATTTCCTTGGCTTTCCTTCCATGAGTTTCTAGGTGTGGTACATAAGAAAGGGCACTAAGATATGTTTTTAAAAATCACTGTTAGTAAATATGTAAACTTCATATTGTTTTTAATTGCCTCAGAAGTAACTCTGGATAATCTTTTTGTTACTTTTCCCCTTCTTTTCAAATGCTTGCAGGAGAGTAAGTAAAAAAGAAATGTGGTCCCATGCATTTCTACCATTTTGAAAAGCACAAGAACTGCAATATAAAATCAGCATAGTTTTCTAACATAGAATGAGCTGTTTAAGGTTGACAAAGTTCATAAAAGGGTGACCATACGCAGCCTCCAGCTTAGAGTTTCTGATCTACTTAATGCATCTGAGTGGAACACAGCTGTCTGTGCAGACTCATCAAAGCTCAACATAAAACCACTCACCACTGGTGATGGGGAAAGTGCAATGTTGCCTATGGATGCCTTCAGCTCATCCACGGTTGCAGTATTCTTAAGAATGTCTTTAGATTGCAATGGCTTAATCTTGATATTAAATTTCTTGTGGGACTCTTCTTCCTCTTCCGATTCGCTCGAAGAATAAAAGTGCTTTCCTTTGGTAGGTAGAACACAGTTAAAGATACATAACTCTTTTTCCTACGGAGAAGCAACGATGAGTATAAGAGTGCTTGCACAAAGAGGCCTCAAAGGTAGCCTCAGAGGGCAGAAAAATCAAAGCAAAATACACAGACGAATAAAAAAGCAAATAGGAAAGCCTCTGCATTTATTCACCTTTCCTTGGAACATGATTAAGGACGGTGAATTTCCAGGAGCAAGAGTTTAATGTCCTACATTTTTGCTGCGGGTGGCCATTTGTGATGTCCCACTTAGCACAAACCCTGACAGCCCATGTGAGCTTCCTCGTCTACCTAGAGAGCAAAGCCAGTCTCAGGATGATTCGTGAGGAATTTCAGTCTTCAGAGATGCTCTGCCCAGAGCTGGTTGGTGGGGAGGGCACAGGTGAGAGTTATTTTCTAGCCACAACAAGTGACATGGTCTTATCAGGTTTTAGCAGACAACCCAATACCCGCAGTTTACACAATTGTTTCTCAGCACATTTTTCTCTTTCTCTTCTCTCTCTTTTCTATGAATAGACCAAGGCAAAATGCCTACTTGTTAGCATTCAGGCTGTTCTGTGCTGTTTATTCATTTCTAATATTAGGGGAGACAGGATTTGGGAAGCTTGGGTTATTTCAGCACCTTTTCAAAATCTGAACTTATCATACAGTTTTCTTAGAGAAAATAAAGATTATAATCAAAAAATAAAGAAAGGATATAGCCGGGTTCCTCGGGTCTGATGCTGTAGCCTTCTTCATCCAGCTCAGGGGAGTTCTACAAAATATAAGCACAGATTAAGCCTTTATTATTCTGACAGAATCAAGGAACTGTTCATTTTCCTTCTAGAGACTTCTATTTAAAGATATAGCTATGTGTCTTATTTTAGAAGGTGAGGATTTTAACCTTTGGAAGTGAATGCTGAGAAGTATATGTGTAGATATTTACTGAGGGATACCTGGAGAGTCTTCCTATCAGAAAAACAAAGGATCCACTGTTAATGAAAGAAAACATTCAAAGAGAATTTCTCATGTGTTTCTTGTAAGCCAAGGGCTGTGCTAGGCAACATGGGGGAAGACAAAAGGCAAACTATTTTTCCTCTGGAAAATGGAAAGGTATTTTGGTAAACAAAATATTTAAAAAAGTGAAATATAGTACACAAATCATCCGTGAAAGGAGTCTGGAGGAAGAGGAAGTTAAGGAAGCTTGAAGGAATCCAAGGGGTCTGCCTGTGACTCTCAGAACAGATGGGGAGGGCAGGGGAGTTGGTGGTAAGAAAGAGGCTGTATTGAGACACCGAGGCAGGAATTGGGGAAGGGAGAGGCAACAGCAAAGACGACTGCCTGGAAAGGAAGACGCACAGTGGGAGAACATCGGAAATAAGACCACGGAGAGCCAACGTGCTGGAGGAAGAATTCAAACTTGATGGAGCTACGGCAACTTCTCAGGGTAGAAAACAGCTTGTAAAGGTGTTTTGGAAGTATGCTTCAGGATAGCATGAGGGCAGAAGAAACTGGAGAAAGGAGATCTCATTCAAAATACTTGTATCAATTCAGGGAAGATGTGCTAAGAGTACAGACCACGTTGGTGGTGGTGGGAAGTGATGGGAAGTCCTTACAGAAAGGACTTTTGTTATAAGGATAAGCTTGGTTCTTTGTAACATCTGTCATGGGAGAAAAAGACGGGGAAGGGTCAAGAAGACCCCAAGATTTCTACTTTCAAGTCACAGGACACTGCTGGTATTCTTGACTGAACTGATTGTAACAGCAGAAAACTAATGTTTTTAAAGGGAGGAAAGATAAAAAAGAGTTTGCATGATTGGGGTTAGTATTACCACTTTTGAGTTCCTATTATATGTGAAGTGCTGTGACCCACACTTTATTTCACTGAACCTTCATAACAATCCCATACAGAAAGAACTATTCCATTCACCAAGGAGGAAAGTAAGAGAAACAAGATGGCATTTCTCAAGGACACACACACCCGGCAAATGGCAGACCTGTGTGCCTTGACTCCACGTATTTGAGACTATACCCTATCCCCTAGAAGGGTGAATGTCAAGCCATTCAAGGGTGGCCCTTCTAAAGGTGAGGTTATAGGCCTGGAAGTGAGAAAGGGCAGAGCCAGAGAGAGAGATTTTGGAGTCACCAACATCGTGAAAGTGCCATAACCATGGAGAGAAAGAAGGCCTGAATGCTATGGGAAAGCCACCATTTCCTAAGCATTCATTGTCTCCCTCTTCAGTACTGAAGTTTACTTTTTTAAAAATGCAAGTGTGTTGAGGTCATTTCCCTGCTAAAAACTTGTCCCTGGCTTCTCATTGCACTTAGAATAAATGCCCAGTGCCTCTGGGTGGCCCACGGCCCTGTATGACCTGGCTCAGGTCTGAGAGTCCCTTCCCTGATGCCCCTCAGCAGCATGGTCTTCTTTCCATTGTTAACTTTTATGTTCTGAATACGCAAGCTCTTTCCCATTTCCGGGGTCCTCATAAATGCCATTCTCTCCACCTGGAATTCTCTTCCCTCAAATGTTCAGCCAGTGAACCCCTTCTATACTTAAGGGCTCTGCTTAAAGGTCATATCCTCCCCGGGGGCCTTCCTTCTCTCACTTCTCTCTGCCAAAAGCAAGATGACATCATCTCTTAAGAATAAAACCTTTCTTATGACTTAGAGAAAGTGGTGTCTAATGTAGAATTACCACAACAATTCCTTCATGACCTAATTAGTTTTCAGGACTGAAGGAATATGGGGGAAGTTATGCTTCATTTAAGGATTCACATGTTGACCAGGGATAGCATTAGAGTGTAGGGTTTAGATGTGTTAATATGTGATTTGATGAGTAATGTGGTATTTTTATTGTCATACTTCTTGTTTTCTTAGTGTATCCCTAAGGATAGGAATATTTTGCTTATTTGCTTAGGGTATTTTTGTGTATTAAAGAATCCTACAAAATACAAAAAAAGTCTTTCTAGATAAAGAAGGATTATCTCTGGGAAACTAAATCACATTTTCTTAGTATTTAGTAGTTTCTCTTATAACATTATTTGTGAATTATTTGGATTTAGGGTAACATGGGAACTGGCATAGATTTTAGGGAGCTGAACTGCTAAAAATGTCTAAAAGGTCCCAGTCCTGGGGAACAGATTTGAGAGGATCAGGTGATGGGGTTGACAGAGTGACATGCTTTAGAGCAGAGGGATGGGAAGCATCAAGAATTTAACCTGTCTGAGCTTCAGCTTTCTTTTCTATGAAATACAAATAATGTATTTGATTTTTTTTTAAAGATTCTTATTTATTTATTTGACAGACAGAGATCACAAGTAGGCAGAGAAGCAGGCAGAGAGAGAGGTAGGGAAGCAGGCTCCCCGCTGAGCAGAGAGCCCAATGTGGGGCTCGATCCCAAGACTCTGGGATCATGACCTGAGCCGAAGGCAGAGGTTTTAACCCACTGTGCCACCCAGGTGCCCCAATAATGTATTTGATTTTTAAGATGGTAAGGATTTCATAGCATTTAATATTATGACTGACTAATAGTTACTATCCAATAAGTGATGGTATTATTTATTGTAAAAATAAAATTATTAAGAAATATGCAAAATCTTTAACATCAAGTTTAATTTTATAATAGGAGAGATTGGGTCAAGACATTCATCTAACAGATATACATGCAAAGGCATTTTGTAAGGTTGTGAACTTGGATACCTGCTGTACAATAGAAATGATCTTTAATGTGAATATGATCTATATATTTTATATGATTAAAAACTCAAGAATGACTGTGGCTGTTCTGTTGAGGTTGGTGGAGTAGATGTTGATGATGTAAATCAGTTTCTGGGGGAATCAGGTGGAGAGTTTAGGTCTCATCTGAGTCGCACTCACTCCCTGAAAGCAACAAGTGATTGTCATTTGACCTAGGAAAGAGTCTGTACCTTGAGGCTCTAGTAATTGTTTTGTGCTAAGGTCTGAATGTTTGTGTTCCCCTAAAATTGATATGTTGAAATCCAAACCCCAAAGTGATGGTGTTAGGAAGTGGGGCCTTTGGGAGGTGATTAGGGCATTGGGGAAGAGCCATCATAGTTGGGGTTAGTGCTCTTGTAAAAGAGAACCCAGTGAGCTTACAGCTGAAAGGGGCCATCTGTGAACCAGAAAGTGGGCCCTCAACCCAGACACACCAGATACCAAATCTGCTGGCACCATGACCATTGACTTCTCAGCCTACACAACTGTTAGAAATAAATTTGTATTGCTTATAAGCCACTAAGTTATGGTATTTTTTGTTATAGCAGCCTGAATGGACTAAGACACTATGGCACCAAACCCCAGAAGTTAACTAACTTGACTTAAATCTCAAAGCCACTTAGAAAAAGAACGAGGATGGCAAAATCTGGAGATAATATTTTAAAAAGCATTTTTAAAAAACACACATCACAGGCTAGGCAGGTACTAAAATAACCTGCAAATAATTAGCTCATTGAATTCTTTCAACTATGTTATAAAGTAACTACTGAGTTAATTTCTGCTGGTCTGCAAACAACCATCCCAAAGGTAACATAGCTGATATATGGAAGGGCTAGGTTTTGAACCCAGTGTAACAGACTCTAGTGCTCTTAACCTCTACACCACCTAAGCGTGTCAGGCACTGCCTAATGAGACAGAGAATGTTCACTTATTTCTATGTTCTATTAAAAGAACGCCTCAACTCATTTTCAAATTGTGAAATAATAAAAAAACAATCTGATACTCACGTATCTTTCCCAGTCAATTTCTGCATAAAATCCATTTGGTGCCCCATTGCTTTTCTTCTGCAATAAATTTGAAAATAAATTTAGAAGAGAAACATTTGAATTGAAGAAAAAAAAAAAGGAACAAAGAACACTTAACTCTTATCTGTATTTAGCAAGAGCTATCAAAATCCAGCACTGGAAAGACAAATTAGAGCAGCCTATTAAGCAACCACATTGGTGTAACTGAATGGTAAATTGAGCTGCCGTGACACTGCATAAAAGAGCTTACAGACTTATTTCACAAAAGACTGTAGGATACCTAAGCATAGAGATGGTAATAGCTATCTGTTTAAATTTTATTCAGTAACATTAGAAGTACCTACATTATAATTTCATCTCCTATACCTTCAGGGGATATAATCATACATATATATATATGTATATGTGTATATATATATATATATATATATATATACACACACACACACATATATATGACATTTTGACTTCTATGCTCTCATGTACAATTGGTCCCAACATGTCTAGAGAGTGTTCAAGTCATTAACTAACCTTGCTTTAGCTCCTCTAACACTGACTCAACTTTTTCCTAACCACCCCCTTGATAGAATGTAAAGAAAATCAACTGCAAGTTAATTTGGCTCCTTGGTATTAAAAATAGTATTGATCTTCTTTTCAAGTGGTCTTTCTTATCAAGTTATTAAAATAGGATTCAAGGATTGATTGTGGATTTCTGTCGTCTATGCGTTCTACACCTCCATGAGCATACATCATTGAAAGATGACTAGATATCAGAATTACTCTCTGGATTCTATTCAAGTTCTATTTTAGCACCTAGAATAATCACGATAATGGCCACAAGCACTTGAGCAAGGACGTGGCATCTTACATGTGGAAATTTCTAAGATTCCTCCCTTTTTGTGAGCAAAGGACAAAAACACAAATCAGGTTGGTAATGGAGAGTCCATTCAACAATATTCCTGTACTTAGCACATAGAACAATGGTATGTCACCAAGCACTAGCAGATCTTAGAACGGCACATGTCAAATGGTGAAGCATGAGGTGTGAGGACAGGACTTCTAATTTTACAATCACAGATAAAGTCCACTGGAACTACAATGGGAACAGCTAACACTGAATTTGACAAATAGGTAGGAGAAGTAAGCCTTTCATGTATGCATGGCACTAGAAATGTTGATTAGAGGCAACCCAGTAACCATTATCATTGGTTAGTAATTTTTGGATGTTGGACTGGGCATTCTAAGAACAAGCAGTTTTGTTAGGGTGAACAGTGGGTAAGGCATAGATATTGTGTTCATGCTCCTCTCTTCCTCTACACCAGAGTGTGCAAATACAAGAACTCTGCTCTTCCAGCACCCAGGCACATAGGCTCTGTGACCCTCTATTTTGCTCCTGACAAAGATTATATACATACTTTGTCAGACTATACCATTTTAGGCCTTCTCATAGAATTGCCTTTATTGGATTAGTGTTTTGGTGATATTCTCCCTACTTTGAACACAGGGAATTTTTAAAACCTGCCACATCAACCTTGTACCTCTACAAGCTATGCAGCTAAGGACATGGTCCATTACATAATGTGCTATCTAATAATAACAGATCTCTCCCATGGAGAATGGGCATGGTTCCTATTTTCTTTTTAAATTCCTACTTCACCAATCTGTTTCCAAATGACTTCTTTGCAAAATTCTCCAAATCTTTCTTAACAAGTATATTAATAAATTCAATATAGAAATTTAATTTATAATAATGGGAAATAAAATGAACTAAGTTGATTCCAAAGAACTAAACTCATGAATTTTGTGATCACTGTAGTATTATTATTAATATATATTTTGGTTCTTAAACAATTTTCCAAAACAAAGGATTGCTATCTAAAAACCAAACAGATTAGGTAAATTACTGTGTTCAATATTCCAGTTGGCTTCCATAATAGTCTCATCTCCATAACCAAAGCCCTTTACAACCCAGATAGTTTGTATGTTCAGCTAAATAAATAAATAAGTGTGTGTGCGCGCGCGTGTGTGTGTGCGTGTGTGTGTATCTTTCCTGAGAACATATATTCAACATTATGGATAAAAGTTCCTGAATTTTCTAGATCTGGGCTGAGTGAAAATTTTCCCAGTTTCCATGGAAACTGATATGGAAGATTGAGATGAAGAGAAAGTAAAACCTATAAAAAGAAAATTTCTTTAAACTAGGAACACTTTTAACACATATACCAAACACGAACAACAAATCATAAACAATACATTTTGGGGCAGATTCACCACATATGCACGCGCACACACGACTTTATCAGAGGAACGGATAATCTGGCCTCATTCACACTAGCAGACTGTTACAGATATATTTGGTTTCACAAGTGGAAATTATCAAGTTAAAGCTTGGCTAGAGCCTGGCTGAAATTCTTCTGGTCAAACCCCAAGAGAAAAAGCAATTCTCCCGGTTAAACCACTGAAGCAAGGAAAAGCTCATACTAGTAAAAAGGAAGGGAATGGTTCTTTTGACTTTCAGTTGGAAAACACTGAGGAAGCAAGAAAGAATACAAATACGAAAATATCATTTAAACACTAGGCTTCATAGTAAAAGCAATATTGGGTACTCACTAACACATAAACAGCAATTTTTATCTTGGAGTTGAAGTTGTGTATTCTTTTACTTCTTTCTTTTCTACATTTTTTTAAACCCTACATTAGCATAAGTAACTTTTCTAATATGACTCTTATCTAATTGAGGCTCGTATCAATGTTAGTCATGCTTTAATAGCTATTTTACTTTAGCCAGGCTTATTATCTGCTCTCAGATAATATGATGAGCTAAATCAATAAGAGTAGTAATAATTGGGTTCAATTATACCTTAGTCAAAGCTCTCAGTTTCCTCTGTGAATGCTCCTCTTTTCCAAGGTCAGCTCATGGCCACATAGTGTTCCTTGGACATGAAGTATTAAAAACGCAGGATATACTACCCAAATATTATCTTTTTGTCACTGAGGCAAGACTTGACTCACTTTGTAAATAATCCTACAGAATAGCACAGTTCAATAGAACTGTCTGTGAGGATGAAAATATTTTGTATGTACACTATCCAATATGGTAGCCACCCATCACAAGTAGCTATAGAGTACTTGAAATGTGGCAGGTGCCACTGAGGAACTGAATTTTGAATAGGCATATGTGGCTACCATATTGGACAATGCAGCAATAGCTGCTATATGGTCTGGGCCTGGATCAGCAGCCCTGACTCACCATCCTTTGGTCAAGTGCATTGGTTCCCACAAGTCAGGGTCCTGCCAAATTCCTGATGCTACTGAGACGGTGCTTATCCTCATAAATGACTACTCATTTCATACGGTGATGTTTATATTATAGCCAAAGCTTCCTTATAGATAGCATAGTATTTTAGAAATGTGAATCCCTCTCCTTTGCCTAAGACAAAGGAAACACATGTCTTGTTTATACCCGATCCCTCTTTAAAAGTATTTTCAGACATCAGTATATAAGGTCTATATGGCTAATTTAAAAATTGGTCCTGGATATTCAAGAGTAATTTGGAAATACCTAAGAAAGTCTTCTTAAATTGATTAAATAAATGCTACTGCTTTCTTCCAAATTTCAAATTGGGATTTTACTCACTGTTTCTACAACCCCTTGGAAATTTTAAACTAAAATCTGTGTCCTTACCGAAACTTTTTTTCCTCCTTCACGCGCACACTCTGCTTTGTTATTGTAGGGTGGTTCATGTGGGCTGGGCTGCTGGAATTGATTGTTTTCATGTAGAAAAAAGTTGTTAAAGGATCTGTTTGTTCTTCAAGACACATATAAAGAATCACATGGAGTCAGCAAACATACCATCGAAGAAACAATTTCTAGGCCAAATCGTAGGGCCTACCAATCTTGGCAGGGTTCCTTAAGCAAAGAGTGGACTTTGGGGCCCATAATGAGGCTCTATTCAGCAGGCCAGTGTGGCTGGGCCAGGAGAAGAAGGGAAAAGAAGGAAGACGCATCCCAGGCACTAGGTTTTCCGCGGATCTAGTCCTCATTCAGCCAGTACTTAATTTACAGGTAGAGAACAGACACAAGGACACACCAAAGAGACCCAATAAAAATGCTCCTATTTCCAATAGAAAGAAGTCTGACAAGTCTAGCTCTACCATATCTTCCTCTTTATCGAAGCCTTGCTGAGTGTTGGCACTATGTACAGCGTGAACAACTGCCAGCTCCAAATCTGGGCCCTTCCCTGCACACGTGTTGGGGATGAGCAGAGATCTCCTCCCAGCCGTGGCTGTGACTCCCTGTGCTCCCAGTCTGTGTGCTTAGGAAAAAGTCTGAGTGCATCCTGCCCAAATTAGAGTTTGCCTCCGGGTTAGAATGCACTGTCACGCAGCTGCCTGAAGTCTCAGACACGACGATGGGCAGCTCTGCTGGGGATCACATTCACCAGTGGGGAGCAAGGCGAGCCTACCTTCATACACGCAACCCTGCCACGGAGCCTCAGTAGACTAACCCTCGAAAGCATTGTCACCAGCGATGGGCTTCGTTAAGTTTTGGGAAACACATTAAATAATAATTCGTACATTGAACTTTTTGCGAAGCCATTATAAGCCTTAAGTGTGTGCACCAGCTCCTGCCGTTTGCAGAAGCACATCAGTGAAACCATTCCTTCCAGTGTCAGATACTTTTCAAAAGACAGTAATTTGGAAGCTAAATCAGCCAGGTAAAAGGTAAAAGAAAGTACGCCTGGGTTCACAAACACAAAGGTATTAAAGACATCAGTCTGAGTGTGAAACAAAGTCTGATTGAGATCGCCAAGGACTGAATGGAAACAGAATCTTGGCCTCCTGTAGCACCGATGTGATAAGGAGTTCTCAAAATTTGGTGACCCCAGTAAATGAGGAATATTTGGGGAGTATTTCCAGATGGTAAAACTAGTATCTGGCTAATAATTTCCAGTACCTAGGAAGCTGTATATCCTGCTTCTGAGAACATGGCATTTATTTCGAATGGAGCCTTTTTTTTTTTTTCCCCAAGCAGGTCTGCTTTATTTCCTAAGAAATCAAAATTAAGCAATTCCTCTTTCCTAAAATCACACCCAGTGATATTTATGGCACTTCCAATTAGGGGACAAGGAGGGGACAGTGGTTGATAAATAACTTTACGTGACTTGGAATAATGGCAGAGAAAGAGAAGTTGGGGAACTCAGGTATAAAGCCCTGACTAGGGTCCACGCATCCACAGAATCACGGCTGGGCTCTTTAATACAGCACGTACTCATAATCGCCAACTGCATGCCAGGGCTGCGTATTCTACCAGAGAATTAAACTGGTGGTCGCTAGAAGGGCAAAGAACACCGAGGTAGCGATGGGGCCTAAGAGATGATAAAGGGCCAGGGGATGAGGAGGTGGGGGAGGGCAGGAGGGGAAGGGCTTCGGAGAAAAAAGGATAAGCCTGAGTGAGGGTGGCAGAGCGAGAGATGCAGGAGATAGCAGTCCAGCCTGGGAGCAGCGGGGACAGAAAGCAGAGAATAGCTAACGGAGGCTTGCTGAGGTGAGAATGAAGGGCACCAGAGAACCCAGGGAGGGGGCCAAGACAGAAGCAGAGAGAAGACACAGAAGCAAGAGAGTACCTGAGACAGAGTTAACGAGAGGGCTCTGAGCCAGAAGCAAGAGGTGAGGAGAAGCTGAGTCTTCTGGGTCTTTTTTTTCCCCTGCTGAATAGAGCCTTGATTATAGTGTTACCCAATGTCTGATCAATTTCAGTCTATTTTCTTAACATTTCATGGCGAGAACTACATGAATGCAAAAGGGACCCCAAAGCTCAGAACCTTGAGTCAAGTGTGGAAGAAAATCTTCTGCTGTCGCTGCAATTAACACCTTAATTTGGGTATAATAATATAAAGGGCGATTTTTCAAAAAAAAAAAAAATATTTTTAACCACCAGATTTTAGTTCCCACTCCAGCCCAATGAGCCTAATGTGAGTCCATTTTTTTTTTCAGTAACAGCTGTTCTTTTGAACCTTCTGAATAGGCATCTGATTTAGATTCTAAGGAAGTCATTTTAGAAGTTGGTACAGACTCCCATAATCTCAACTCTGATCAATCCAAGCCCATGTGCCACAGACTTCTTAAAAAACCAAGAAATCTGGTGGCCCACAAGGAGTCAGAGTTACAGTTAAACCTAAACCCGGTGGAGACATTTTCCTCCTTCAGGTTGTAAATTCAGGCATAAGTGGTTTTGAGACCATTCCCTACTTAGGAATTTAATGTAGAAAATGTATCTACAACTCACTAAAGGGGAAAAGCTTCTTTCAATTTTATTGGATCTCAGCTCCATTATGACTCTGTGGCCTCTGTTGGAGAAAAACATTCTCACATAATGAGCTTTTATATCATTAAATTGGAAATGAAATAACAGTTAATGATAGCAGCCCCTGCAGGAACTCTCTGGCTTCTGACCCACCATATTGATGAGGTTTGCTTGCCTACTCCGGGGCAGGGTTTTAGGTGAATGCAATAAATAAGTTTAACTTGACCAAGACTTCATTTATATGTCTCATGCAATTACTACAGAAAATTACAACAGCAAGAGGTCTGAAAAGTCATTTAGGCTATTCTCTCCCTCCAGAAAAAAAAGGGGAGGGGCTTTAAGAAATTTCAACATAGTATATATTGAAGCGCAAACCTACTGAAAATGGTCATTTAAATACTTACAATTCCATCTCTATCTGGTGAACCCCTGTAACGACAAGAAATGGGTAGCTATTAGGAAAAGAATCATTCTTGCTACATAGACTAAAGTATAACAGTAAGATTCACAAACCATCTCTTTCCCCCTTTCCTGCTTTCCCATTCCAGTGAACCCAGCTAATGAAACCAAAATCAAAATAAATTGGTTGGATGATATTAGAGCATGGGATGTGTGTGTGTGTGTGTGTGTGTGTGTGTGTGTGTGTGTGTGGCAGCGGGGCGGGGGTTGGGTAGGGTGGGACAGATTCTCATTAAAGGCTGGTGTCCAAAAGGCACGAGTTGCTGGTGTAATGTCTTGGTCCACTTTTGAGAGGGGAGTTTATTAAGAACCTGTCCCGCTCAGCTGACTCCATTTAAACTACCACAAAGAACGTAAACTGACTTGCCCGCTCTCACCTTCTCCCCTTGGAGAAGTCCTGAATTTCCCCCTACAGAAAGGAACTCCTATGGTGTTTTTCTCTTCACTTTGAGAATCTATATTTTCCCCCCTATTTCTATATTTACCTGTTCCTTTGATTATAGGGGAGCAGGAAATAGAGGACAATGTCTGCTAAATGGCTTACACTGATGGCCAAAGTCCAGGATCATTAATCCATGGTGATACTGTGGGGTAGTGCCTAGAAGTAAGGCTTGTGGAGTAGGATGGATCTGGGTATCCAAATTCCACCACTTATTAATTCTGTGACCTTGAATACATTACCTAATCTCTCTAAGCCTGTTTAAATAAGATAGGGTATATAAAGAACTTATAATGAGTTCCTGACACATACTATTTACAAACGTTCTTTTGTTATCATTTTTTTCCTCTTTCATGGTATCTCCTCACTGAGAACACAAAACTGGCCACTCGCAGTCCCATTAGACTTCCTAGCAAGTAATATGACCGTTACTCTGGGAAATTGAACAGGAGGAGCCAGAGTAAGGGAGAGGTGTGAGGGTAGTCACTGTCTCTTTTTGATTTCCTATTTTAGCTCCCTCTACAAGGAGCCAGAAAAATGTCATTCTACTAACATGGAGATCAAGATTATGCTTAGGTGAGCACTTACATTATTTGGAAGAAAAACTTAATGAGTGCTTGAGGGAAACTATGAAGTTTTGTGGAGTTTGATGTAGTTGAAACTGTTTTTTCAGAGGTGGGAGCAGGTAACAACGTTCCTTATTGATTCACAGGGTGGGGTGGAGGAGAGACGAGAGGGAGGGAGGAAGAGGGAGAAAGAGAGAGAGAGATGCAGAGAGTTGGTGGCACATTCTTTGGGTTCCGAGATGTGATTCCCCTTTCCCAGTAACACCCCCTTCAAATTTAGCAAGATATCCCATTTGGATTACAAAATACTTGGGGGAGGTACATCATTTTTCATAACAAGTTCTGTGTCTGCGTGGATGCAGACGTGAATCAGTGATACACGGGCTAGAAGCAGAAAGGACCCAGATTTTAAAAGACCCGTAGTAGTTGACAGAAATCTTAGGGTCTTTGAACCTGGCTATGGGAATTAGTTGGTTCAAAGAAACTTCACCTAAAATAGAAGGGTAGGAAGATAAAAAATTGATAAAAGTTATCATTCACTGAACAAATGTTGAGTGCTTATAATGGGCCAGGCACTAGACTAGAATAAGGGGATAGTAATAATGAAGACATGCTCATCATAAAAAGAATGAGACAGGTAAGTATATCCAGTGGGTTACCATAGGCACAATAAGCCCAGGTTGGATAAAAAGCACAGAGAAAATGTACTGACCCATACTCATCAAAACCAGCTTTCCGGGGCACCTGGGTGGCTCAGTTGGTTGAGTGACTGCCTTTGGCTCAGGTCATGATCCCGGACTTCCAGGATCGAGTCCCACATCGGGCTCCCAGCTCCTTGGGGAGTCTGCTTCTCCCTCTGACCTTCTCCTCTCTCATGCTTTCTCTCACTCATTCTCTCTCAAATAAATAAATAAAATCTTTAAAAAA